ACACACACACACACACACACACACACACACACACACACACACACACACACACACACACACACACGAGAGCGCGAGCGCGAGAGAGCGCGAGAAATAATTCAATAATCATGTCAACAATCATCTGAGGATTATATCGAGAGCTCTCTAACAAAGTATCAGGAGCGTATAATGACAAATATACTTGTACAAATATACAAATATATATATTTGTCATTATACGCTCCTGAAAGTATGACATCGATTATTTTTGTTTGGCCATGCGAGAGAGACAGATCAGTTTGATGCTTGCCATGCCCGATCCTGAGGGTGATCGACACACATTGAACTCCTTTAGGACGAATAGGCGCGTATCACGTATATGACTATTTCAACATGCGATGATCCTTACACGGCGTATAACGGTGAACTTGGAGAATCAGAGCAATTCGTATGTGACATGGCCGCGCTTACGATAACAGCTGGGCTTGGTGTTCAAGTATGGCTTGAGAACCAGCGTCGTCTTGGAAACTCTTACCCACCGCGCAACTACAGGAAAGCGAATAGCAAATTCGCAGCACGTTCTTTGCAAGTCGTAGTTACATGTCGAAAATTCTCAATTTAAAATATGCAAAAACAAGTGGAGAAAATCAACGATCGCAAACGAAATTCCGAGTACTTCATTTGTCACTGGCGTTCTCTAATATCCCCTCCTCTCCCGTGCGAAATCACGTTCAATGCAGCAGCATAAATTATATTTACTCAACTCGGAGAATGTCTTGTGGGTAGTCACGCAGGTGTTACGCATCCACCGAATAGAGATTTATGGCCTTAGTAAGTATGCAGCGGCAACGAAATGCACCGTTTGTGATAATTCCCAAAAATCAAAATTTTTTCTGTAATGTGTTTCGCTTTGTAAGACTGCATGGGTAGTAATGTGTAAGAATGTGTTTCGTAAGAATGTGTAAGAATGTGTAAGAATGTGTAAGAATGTATAAGAATGTGTTTTTAACAGTAAGAATGTGTAAGAATGTGTTTCGTAAGAATGTGTAAGAAAGTGTTTCGTGAGAACGTGTAAGAATGTGTAAGATAATGTTTGTAATGTGTAAAAATGTGTAAGAAAATGTGTGTAATGTGTAAGAATGTGTTTCGCTTAGACAGACTCGGTAAAACTAGTGAAAAACAGAAATAAACCACAGACGGCTGATTTTTTGGTTCAAACATCAGCTAACCATTAACGACCAGTCAACCTACCCAAATATAATGACCACTATCCGAACGTACTATGTTGAAAAGGTTAATATTGCCAGTATCTTGCGGTCAAAGTTGAGTCCATATACCCTTATGATTATTTGTCGCTGATCTACACAGAATGATTTGCCGTATTATCGCCACTGTCGCAGTATTCCATGACATATGCGCCGGTAATTGACATTGCAGACAAATTAACGAATGTACATATAACAAATTACAAACCCATTGTGGATATATAACAAATGACATTTTCCTCGCAGTTGAATATATGAAAACGTCATCGTCATGTGTCTGAAATATCGCTACGCTGCCGAACAACATTAGCGAGTATTCCATTCAGCACCACTAGTACCATGACGTCCATAAATGAACCAAGCCATATGCGTGTACGTTTGCGCTTGAATTCTGAAACGCACTTATGTCTGATCGTCAACCATATCCTCCTATAGTCTCCTCCTATATTCCTCATATATTCCTCCTATATTCCTCCTATATTCCTCCTATAGTCTGAACCTTAATTTCGGCATTCAACCCCGGTATAGTTCACGTCGCTATTCCTACACTAGCCCTCCTCGTGGGTAGTTACAACACTATTTAGGCGGTTATTTCCAGAAATCATAGTGTGTGTCTTTGAAAACGTACACACACGCGCTCAGCCATCGATATTGTTCGAACGTGGACGCGGATAGCGGTTTGTTAGGGATTCGATACGCGTGTTTACGGCGGTAACGAGGCGAGCTTTCCGCCTATACGCTCAGACGTTAAAGCTGCATGTTATATTCCGACGGTGAACAACTAGCCTATACCCACTCCCCGTGACCGTGAGCAGGTTATCGTTGCTGCCATTTCATTTGATGTTTAGGGTCGACAGGCGAAAAAAACATCGCGACGTGTTGCTTTGCTACGGTGATGCGACACATTTGATTACCCGGTTATCATTTCTATCGAGTATCACATTGATTTGTTTTATGGCTGAGAATGGCTTGAGTTTCGCGAGATATTGTACGCAGGATGGAGTTGCTCTGTGTAAGCAGCAGTATAATGCGTCGAGAGTCCCGTGTACGTACAGAGACGTTAATGGGAATTTTCCCATTTTAAAATCTTTAATACTTTTCATTCTACATTGGCGACGCGAAGGTTAAGCTCCAATTGCTCAATCCCACGAGATGGAGTTAGACTGTATTGGAGCGAGTATACACAATACTAACAAGAAAACTTGACAAATTTGTCTTGCGGGCTATACAACTGAGTTCTTTTCTGTAGGTAATCCACGAGCGGCTGCATGCTGAAAGCCAGCGCGGATCCGTAGAGCATATGGTGCGGCAGGGCATTGTCGAGGGTTGAGCCACTCTCGCTCTAACATGTTTACTTGTGAATGCTTTGCGACCGACTAGGCAAGGAAGGATGTCACGTTCGAGAACTCTGCACGCCTGCCCACATGTGAATTCTTCAAAATTTCTAAAAGACGTGTTTCTTGACACGTTATAATGGCAGCCCACGACACGCTTCCACTTTGCTTCAAGAAACGTCCACCTATAGGCCTTTATAGCAAGGCCGCTTGTGGCACAAAATAATATATATATATATATATATATAGTACATGTAATTTTTCGCCGCATGAAATAACACCAACCCATAAGAAGGGGCGCGTATTCGGCGCACATACACTCAATATATCTTATAACAGGTAAATATCGAAGTTGTAATAAGTGAAAATATTAATTCACGCGGGGCGACGTGTTGTGATAACGGCTGCCTGCCGTGCGCTACACAGGTTTCGCATCTCGGACTCGTTATATCGATCACAGCACGCGCCTCGACATCGTGGCTTCTTATTTCCGTCAACGCTGGTGGCCATCGCTGCGCATAATCATAATAGTAATCGAATATCGCGCGCGCTCTTGAAAATGCTGCTTCGAAACTACGCAGACAGGTGTGTGGTCGCTTCTTTCGTACTTTTTCGAGTCCATGGCCATTGTCATGTGCGAGTAAAATATCACGATGAAGAGATATTGCGCGAGCTAATCTCACGGGAAATGTTATGGGATGAGTCATATACGGGTACATGTAAAATGTCGCTGTAAATTTAGTGCGAGCCGCTGTGCTGTGTGTAGTCACATTAATACTCGTATTACAATACTCAATATACATGTGCGTTCGAGCGTATGTGCGTGCGCGTGCGCGCATGTGAGTATAATGAAAGCGAGAGGTTGTTTCCTCTACTGATAAGTGAAGTCGAAACGTAGACTGACTAACTAGCACTAGACTGAACTAAAATACAGAAGCAGCACATTTAAAGCCACTTTGGTATTGTATGTGATAAATCGCACTCGAAATGAATTATTCAAATCCTCTCGCTTTACTGCCATCATATGCTCCTGAGCGATTCTTAATACGCTTCTTTAATATGTTAAAAAATTTCTCGCTTTCCCAAACATATCATCAAACGAGATTAATTAGAATAGAATGACGTGGAAAATAATTAAAATAATTATGCCGTTGGCCGCTGCGAACAGCGCGAACCTAGACGCTGTGGGCGGGCGCGGACTGAGCATGCTCTATCACGTGCTACGCTGCTTATATAACCAGCTCGAGGTTCATTCAGAACCCAGTGTGAATCCTCGCCGCCAGCCAGCACGCGTACAAGGGTACCTTCAACCCCCAACTATAAAAGCCACTCATCGCCATCAGCGCAAGCATTCGTAAGCACGGGAGACAAGCACCGAGAGCAAAACACAAGCATCACAAAGAGAAAGAGAGAGAGAGAGAGAGAGAGAGAGAGAGAGAGAGAGAGCAGGGGAGAACTGAGACTGGCAGAGGCTTGGGGAGGCTAAGAGAATTCGGTTGCCTGCGAGTGTTATAGCGGGGAAGAGCGGCGGGACCAGCATCAGACTGTGCGAATCGTGAGCCGATCATCGAACATGTTCAATAGATACTGGTAAGTAATCGCGCCGTGCGAATCCTTTTCCGTTTTTTTTCGTGTGTCTGATTAATTGCAAGCATTGATCTATCTGCGGGCGGTATCACGTCGGTACAATGGTTGACAGCGTGGTTCCGCTGACCTATACACATATACCACTACCAAAACACGCACTATACACATGCACAGAGATGCACAAACGCGCGCACACCCACGCGCACAGAGTGAGCGAGAGAGGAAGGGAACACACGTACACACACGCGCGCACACGCACACACACACACACACACACACACACACACACACACACACACACCCACGCGCACGCACGCACATCGCAGATCACGTAAACAGAGAGAAAGCGACGCAGAAAGCAAAAACGAGAACGAGGGAATGGGAATGAGTCACATTAAAGTGTACATCGCAGTGTGGCTTTTATGAAAGTTCGATGATTCCTTCTTACCAGTGGCGAACATGCACAATTTAGACGCAGTCTTATAATAGAGTATAAGGGGTGGTCTGGAGCTACGGCTCGATTTTACATTTTCGATTATGTCAGTTGCCTGTTACCTGTTTAAACGCTTAATGGAATATGTGTGTCCCAGGAAGGTTAGCAGAGCATCGATTGCCATTAGAGGCGCAGCTATAGTGTGAGGGTAGACTAGTTGAAATTAGACCGAATCGTGATAAGAGAAACCCAACCGATAGTCAAGGAACCATTGCACACCCCAGAAAGCGCGTGTGATTCAATAAAAGACACAAAGAAATACCATTTAAGTGCTGAAATTATTTGATTTCTCATGCGGCCTGACGTTTTGTGAAAATATCGTTCGTCAACCATTGGGGATTTCTGTAATAGAAGAAAAAAGTTCCGGATATTGCACAGAGAAAAGAATTCGGAATGTTTCTTTCGCTACGAACACCTCTGATGGGAATCAGTGCTCATTCGATTCACGCTGTTTAAGACGCATTCTGCTTTGGCACATATGTATGCCGGATATATTACACTCATTCCTTAATTATATATTGAATTATTGAGTTCAATCGAGCGAAACCCATCTTGTTCCAACATTTCGAGGTTGCACTTATACTTACTCCGCCATTTACATTTAATTGTAAAATGCAAAGCATATCTGATGGGATGTCTCTCTTCTTTGTTATCATTATATTATCTTCTTAGTCTATTGCATTTCAGATTTGGTCAATTAAGAATTATGTAGTTCTTCGTCCATATAATAATATAAAAAATTGATTATTATAGTTTGATTGATTATATCCACTGAAATATTAACAGTCCATATATTCACACGCACCTCACTTCTGCCCCCAACACACACGCACGCATACACGCACGCGCACACGCACTCGCACACACACGCACTCCCCACACACGCGCGCGCGCACACACGCACGCGCACACGCGCTCGCACACATACGCACCCACGCATGCACACGCCTGCATGCACGCACCCACGCATGCACACGCCTGCATGCACGCACATACGCGCGCACACGCACACATACGCACCCACGCATGCACACGCCTGCACACACGCACATACGCGCGCACACGCACGCACGCACACACGCACACGCACGCACGCACACACGCACGCACACGCCCGCACACACACACACACACACGCACACACACGAGCGCGCGCGGATCCAGCAGAGATCGCAGATCACGTAAACAGAGACGCAGAAAGCAAAAACGAGAAAGAGGGAATGGGAATGAGTCACATTAAAGTGTACTATTCCTTCCCAAAGCAACACTATGAGAGCATATAGTGCCTCCAACAACAGGCAATAATGTTTTTAGTGCATCACATGACTTTGCAATCTACTCGGCAAATATGAAGTGAATAAGACAAAGTTTCTTAAACGAACAATTTCAATTTGTATTAAAACACAAACGTAACACATTGAAACTGGAATAAACATTGGAATAAAAGTATTGTCCGAGTATTCTTTGGAATACACATTGAACCTGGCGATGACTCAGGAAAACTGCTACAGGTAGGGGAAATAACTGCGTCGCGCAAGCAATAGTGCCCGCTCAGGCGGGCACCATTGTTTCTTGTACCTGCGACGTTATCCAATGGAATTTCAACGATTTATCATGTGATGCACTAATAGAGTATAGAGGGTGGTCTGGAGCTACGCCT